TGTAGCGACAGATAAAGAAGGACTAGAAAGCTCTCAAATAATTAGGTCACGGTGCTCAAAAATTCAACAAATATAAATAAATGATCTACTGCATCAAGAGCATATCAACGGAGAAGAGGATTCAACCCCTCTTAAAAAGTTCTACGATCCCAAATAATCAAGCGTATAAAGACAAAACACGAAACTGTGACGAAGAACGCGTCCCAGCAGTGGGTTGGTTCGCTAGAGTGAGTACTGTGTTGGGTTTGGAGTTTGGGGTTGGACTGGGTAGGTCGCTGGATTGGGCAGTGGGTAGGTCGCTGGGTTGGTTAGTGGGTCGCTAGTTTGTTTTTGGGTCAGTCAGTGTTGCTGGGTTTTGGGTTTTACGGGTACTGGGTTTATGGGTATTATTTTTTATGGGTACTGGGTTTATGGGTTTATGGTATATGTTGTAGTCGGAGATGGCTTTGGTATATGTTGCAACAGTCGGTGACGGCTGTGGTATATGTTGCAGTTGGTGGAGAAGGAGTTTTTTTTTTTTATTGATTGTCGGTGCTGGGGTTTGATTTTGTGGGGTATTGGCAGTAGGCTAAAGGCTGGTGATGTCGCTGGTATGTCGGTGATGGCTCTGGTATATATTACAGTCGGTGGAAAAGGTTATTGGGCAGTGGGCTGTTGGGTCTTGGCTGGTAGTTATGGAGAAGGTTGCTGGGCAGTGAGGCAGCAAGATGAGTGGCCTGTGACAGTGGCTAGGTTGCTGTCGGTTAACAGTGGCGGTGGCAGCTAGGTGGTTGTAGCGGTGGCTTGATTATGATGGAGGTTAGGGTTAGAGTTAGAGGTAAGGTTTGGCTCTAATACCAAAAAGATGAATATGTGTGAGTCAAAGAGATACAAACTAAGTGTAGAGCCCCCATATATTTAGCCAATGAAAGTTACAATAAAGATAAAAGGGTAAAAAAGGAAAAACTTAATAAACTAGATTGCTATATCTCCAACAGAAACAATTGGCAATAGAGTTTAAGATGAAGAATCTGGGAGGACTTAAATATTTCTTGGGAATAGAGGTTGCTATATCAAAACAAGGTATATTTCTTTCCCAACAAAAATATATATTGGATTTACTATGTGAAGTTGGAATGTTGGATTGTAAACCAGCAGACGCTCCAATAGTTCAGAATCACAAGCTCGGAGAACATCCCAGCAAAGTGCCAGCAAACAAAGGAAGATACCAAAGGTTAGTTGGGAAACTCATTTATCTCTTTACATACCAGTCCTGATATTGCTTACACGGTGAGTGTAGTAAGTCAATTTATACACCAACCGAGTAAGGATCATATGGAAGCAGTGGTCCGAATTTTACGATACCGAAAATCCTCCCCAGGAAAAGGACTAATGTTTTCTAAAAATAACCATATTAGAGTTAATGGTTATACCGACGCTAATTGGGCGGGAGACACCACAGACAAAAGATCAACCTTTGGCTACTTCATGTTTGTTGGGGGAAATCTGGTTACTGGCACTATCAAGTGTTGAAGTAGAATTCTGTGGAATGACTAAAGGACTTTGTGAGCTTCTATGGCTCAGAAGACTCCTTACAAAAATTGGATTTGCCCCTACCTCCGAGATGGATCTTTTCTGCGATAATAAGGCAGCAATTGCTAATGCCCACAATCCCATCCAGCATGATCGCACTAAACACATGGAGATTGATAGACACTTTATTAAAGAAAATCTAGCAGCTAAAATAATTCGGTTTTCATTTGTGAAATCTAAAGCCCAGTTGGCGAATATTCTTACAAAGGCCGTATCAAGCAAGGAATTCTACAACTCACTAGACAAGTTGCGCATCAAAGATTTAGATGCTTCCACTTGAGGGGGAGTATTGGCATGAGTTGTCAACAATTATTGGCATGAGTTGTCAATCAAGAATTAAAACAGAGAGATTATAGGAATCGGTCAAGCATGATTCTAGACCAACTTGATGTATAGCCAAAAATAGAGTATCAAATCTATCTATATATGTATGCAATGCCTCTATAAATTTTTCAATGAGGAATAAAAAAAAAAAAGAAACTTTGATAGAAACTCGTTGTGTATGGTTATATGATTTGTGTTTGGTCCTAAAGATATTATACCGATTCCACTTAGGGATCGCGCATAAAGTTGAGTGGTGTGTTCGTTGGCAGTGAAAAGTGAAGTGTACTTCTTCATAATAATTGAAAATAAAAGTTTATGACTAATATGAGTTATTTCACTATGTGAAATGAATTTTTGATGACTTAATTTATGTTGGGTTGAACAAATAATAGATCAAATATGTTTTATTGAAAAACTTGTAGATTTAAGTAGTAATATTCACTATGCAAGAGTTGTTGATAGCCTGACAAGGCTTACATGTTGTTGATTTGGATACTGCACAGTTGTCGTGAGACAACTTGACATTACTTAAATGTTATAGATACCTTGACATAACTTAAATGTTGTTGATAGCTTAACATTGCTTAAATGTTGTTGTTGACTTATAGCACATGTGGACTATTTATTATGTTGATATTTTTGCAGTGATTATGAGATTTCAAAGTAAGCTGAAAACACTTTGATTTTGTCGTTCTTCTCAGATTGTAAACATATTTTGGTGAAATAATATTTGATCCATATTTTTAATATTTTCATTTATTATGATGCACAATACACTCAAGAAAATATTTGTTTTCAAGAAACTGAAGTTTAGAGTTAGGTCCATTACAACACTAGCAGAGTCGAGATGGGAGGTTAAGGAAACTGATTATGTACATATTGTACAGGAGTGTTCGTTTCTTTGTTGATGTATGGGATGAATTTTCTAATGCTTCATGTTGTATTAAGTTATAGAGTTTTGTACTGCCATAGAGTTGTATAGTTTATCTCTTTTACGAGATCATTAGATGGTATTATTGGTTTTAAATGCTTTCTTGCATTATTGGCGCATGTATTACCACACATCGAATTATACTTATATCTTTAAGATACCAAATTGGTTTTTCAGAATGGGGGTGACAGCTTGTGAGGCAAAATCATGGGACTCAAGTTCCAACAAAAAAATAATAATTTTGTTGCTAATGAGAATTAAAGGGCGGACTTCATTAAAATTTCTGTGTGCATGTTTTTGATTTTGGGTGTTTTTAAAAAGAATTAATTTTTTATTTGTAGATTTGGGATTTGTTTTCAAAACAAATTAGTTGAAAAAAAATAAAATAAAAACACAACACTAAACGTGTTCTTATTGTTTTATTTTTTTTTGGTAAAATTGAAAAACAAAAACAAAAAAATAAAAAATAAAACAATTACCAAACAAAATTTTGGTCATTTTAAAACAAAATTTTAATCCTTTAAATGGATATGTGGTGTTGAAAGATTTATTCTTACGACTTTGATTAGGAGCACATATTCCCTTGAACTAGTCACGTAGTCAATTTTTGTCCGAGTGATTAGGAGGCTACTCATCCTCATGCACAATTCGAAGTTGGGTCTTGGGTCTAACCAGTCACATTAATGACTCCCTTCAACCTTTTTTTATTTTATTTTTAAAAGGGTACAATACGAGAACTTAATAAAGTATCAAGAATGAATCCTACTCTTTAGTTACATTGTTGTGCAGAATGATCCTCCTCTCTTCATTCGTATTGTTCTATAAATCCAATTTCATAAGTGATTAACCGACTCTATTAGCTTTTTTTTTTTTTTTTGGGAGGGGAAAGGGGATTTGAACCCTTGACCTTAAGAAGACAAAACCTTTATAAAACAAGGAGTACCATTAAATTAAAAATTCATTGGTTCTATTAGCTGACAATAAGCTACAAAGATCAATCTATTTGCTTTTATATGTTCCTTTGTATGGCTTTTAGGCTTTAAGAAACCAACAAAATGTATGACTTATTAATATTTTTTTATAAAAAAAAATTATACAACCCAATAATTTTATGTACAACCCAATAATTTTATGTTTAGCATCTCACATCAAGAGAGAGAGAAGACGACGACTAAAGTACTAAAAAATATTTTGTACCCTCCTTAGAGTCGGTTAGACCATGATTGATATATTCATCACGAATATTTTAATTTTCACATAGATGATATTTCTTTAACTAAATCGGAGAACTGATTAGTTGAAGTACATGTAAGTTAGCTTAAATATTCCTGATTATTGAACCAGAACAAAAAAATTTGATATTATACCATTTTGTACAAGTTTTGTGGGTTTTTTTTTTACGAATTTTTAGATTCACTTATAACTTTTAGGATACTTAAGATTAGGGGTGTCAGCTATAACCTATTGATACGAATTCGACACGAACCTGACATGAACGATTATAAAATTGACACGATTATTAAATACACATAATAAGTAACCTAAACTAATATTTAATACTCAGAACACACTAAATAATTTTTTTTTTCGTGGGTCTTAACACGAATACGACACGAATAATATTGACACGATATGTGGATCACACGAACACGACACAATTAACACCACTACTTAAGATTGATTACAAGTACTTCAAAAAAGTATAACTCAGACATTTAAAAAATTATAACTTGAACCTTAAAAGTTGTAATATAGCATCAATCTTAATTTCTAATTTTTTTTTGTTGGAAATAAATCTAAAAACTCACAATACTTTTAAAATTTAGCGGTCTAGTAACAATTTTTTTTTTCCTTTTGGTACCTTGGCATTTTGTTTGTTTATATAATAATTTTTTTTTCTTAATAAGGTTTATTCATTCACGTCCGAGAAATTAATCTAAAAATTGTGAATCTGGATACAATGACATATGACATATTAATGCATAATCTTTTCAGAATTACTAAACCGTGGACTTCCAACCCTCCCGTCCTCTCTGTTTTAACTAGACATCCATCCAGATCTCTCTCTCTCTCTCTCTCTCTCTCTCTCTCTGTGATGTATCAGAGAATTTGGGTCATATAGGTCCTGGGTGTTATTTAAGTGTGTGGTAAAAGAACTGGGTATTGAAGAAAGATGGCAGCAGGAGTGAATAGGAAGATATCAGCTGCATCAGCGAGGTCTCACACCAGAAAATCAAAGCAGAAGACTTCTTTTCCTCTTCCTTCAGGTGGGTTTTCTTCGCTTCTAGGATCATTCGATCGATATATTTATGTGTCTCTGTGTGTGTGAGTGAGGGAGCAATTCCTCAGTGGCCCAATAGTCTAGCCCTACTAGCAGGAGCCAATATAAACGTTTCTATGTGTTTATATTCGTTGAATCTAGATCATGTTGAAATTGCAAATACAGTCCACTAATGACAGCCCTATTTAGTTTTTCCGAAACTGTTACTGTATACAGAGCCAATAAATTATGTTCTTGTGTTGGATGCCAACAGATTTTTGATTTATTATTTGGCACTTTGAACAAAAGGGTAAATGAGATTTAAATAGAATGCCAGTGCGAAGCAAAGGGAAAAATTTTCTTGTAATTTTTTGCCATTTGTAAGGAAGAGAGAATGTTGGTGGAATGAGCTATATTGCGTTTTGATGTCAGGCCTGACATTGTATATGTGTCTCACATTTGAATTTGCAGTTTACTTTCCTGTAGTAACTGTATACATTAAGTCAATTGTGTATAATTTCCTAACAGCTTGTGTTTGATATGAAAGGTGATTTGTTTTCATCAAATCAGGGTTCAAGATTATTCTTGATTCAAATAGAATAGCTTAAGCAATTTGGTATATGGGTTTTTGTATGGAATAGGAAGGAAGGTTTCTTGGCTGAATGATTTTAGAGATTTGCTGATAGTTCCTGCTGTCTCTTAACTGTTAGCACATAAAGCTTCTTGTAATTAAGTTGAGATACTGTAAATTACATATGCTCAAATAATAGAATTGTCCCCTACCCAGGATTGGTATGAAATGCTTATTATTTTCTAGCTTGTGGAGTGTGTTATAATGAGAACTGAAAATTTTTCAGGAATTGTTAAGAAAATACTAGTGGTCTTCTTTATTGGGTTTCTGGCATGGGCCTATCGGGCAACTCAACCACCTCCACCCAGGAAATGTGGTTCTCCGGATGGTCCCCCTGTTACAGCATCTCGAGTGAAACTAAGTGATGGAAGATTTTTGGCCTACAAAGAGTATGGGACTTCAAAGAACAAAGCCAAGTATAAAGCAGTGTTTGTCCATGGCTTTGATTGTTGCAGACATGATGTTGCCACAACCCTCTCCTCGGTATTTTTATTTCCTTTGCTATGGCTTTTTCCTTTTTAGTTTTTTTGGGCCTTGCATTTAACTGGAGTTTCTGTAGCTTGGATTGACGGCCCCCTTTTACAGGACGTTGTGGAAGATCTAGGTGTCTACATTGTCTCATTTGACAGACCTGGTTATGGAGAGAGTGATCCTAACCCAAAACAAACAATAAAAAGCTTGGCTTTGGATATAGAAGAGCTTGCTGATCAGTTGGGACTAGGATCCAAGTTCTATGTAGTTGGATTTTCCTTGGGTGGACAGTTGATCTGGACCTGCCTCAAGTACATTCCTCACAGGTATGAGTGGATAATGTTATATCGAAGATGGAGGGAGGGAAAGAGATAGGTTGAAAACGGTATTAAGATACATTTCCTATGTTATGTCCTCCTTCGTCAGCTTAAGATTTTAGTATGATTGATGATTAATATGCCATCATAACTGAGCTTCTAGTTTTTTGGACCATTTTTCAATTTAATTTCAGCAACTTAGTATTGGTTCCCCCCTTTGGTTGTGCCATCAGTGCACCTAATTATACTTGTAGTTCTGTTTTCTAGTTGGAAACGGGGTCGCACATTTGAGAGAGGATTAGAGCTTCTTTCAATGCATCCCATACTAAAACGTTGGCCTTGGAGTCTCTTATTCATAGTCTATTGATTTCGGGTTGATTGATTTAGCATTTTAGCAAAGTTTATAGTTCTTGAGATCAAACAATGTTGACAAGAATTCACCTTAATGCACAACACAATCATGTGGACTGACCACCCAAGAGGGACCACACAAGAAGTCAGCTCACGTTTTGACTCTAGTCTGTGATTAACACACAATTAGCATTTCCTTTCCCCTTTAACTCTTTTCTTTTAGAAACTGGTTGTTATTGGTGCATTTCTTTCAATGTTGTCCTTCTTGCTTTCATCCATTTCAAATGGGATATTTATAATGCCAACAGGCTAGCAGGAGCATCCCTTTTAGCTCCAGTTGTCAACTATTGGTGGCCGGGTTTTCCTGTGAACTTATCTACAGAAGCATACAATCAGCAGCCTGTGCAAGATCAGTGGACTCTTCGTGTTGCTCACTACATCCCGTGGCTTACTTACTGGTGGAACACACAGAAATGGTTTCCTTCTTCTAGTATTGCAGCTCAGAGTCCTGCTGTACTTTCTCGCCAAGACAGAGAACTCATTCCCCACAGTGTTTCAATGAGAAAGGAGTATGAGGTACTTATTTAGAACTTTTTTTCTGCATATATTTCTGGTACTAAATCAGGTATTACATGGAAAAAGATAGTGGATGTCATTTACGGGTGTTAATAGATAGCAGTTGACGTTTATAGTTCAAGGAATCTATTCCGATCTTAATTGGATGAAGTGAGACGTTAAATTCTTGCGGTACTTTGCTCTCTGTCATGCATTGATGTGTTAGTAGTTGATGATTTATCAACTTTGGGCATACAGGTGAAATGCTTGTAGCACTGCCTGTCTGATTAGCCATTATCTAATGTTTAACACTTGGAAGGAGTTTATTTTCATGGGCCTAACTTTTATGCCAGAGGTAGTAATCTAGTGTTTAAAACACATCCAAAAATAGGAGAAACTGTTAGAACTATTGGTGATGGTGAATAAATGAGGTTAGGAGCTTTCTTTGTTCAGAGTCTCAATGCTGTTGCTGCTCCCTATACCAACTATTCTGTGATTCCTTGCTCTATCATTACATCCTCATTAAACAATTTACCCGCATCCCTGAAACCATAATAAAGGCTAGATGTCAAAAGATCTTTTTCAGAACTGAAGGTAGTAATATATTGTTTCATAGTTCACACATATGGAGAAGGAAAGTACCAAGTTAGATGAGCTGAAAAGACTTTTGCAGTGATTCATGAGTACTTGGTGTTTGCCCCAGTCCTTGGTTTACTAAATTATGTTTTTTCTTCTCCTCCTCCTTTCTTTTTCGGGTGTATGTGTGTTTCCTTGTATACAGATACTTGCTCCATCCTTTCTCAGGAGGGGAGACTAACAATCGGGCCAGTGAGAAGTGCTCAACTTGTTAGCTGTAACCTGTCCTCCTAAGCATCTGGATAATCAATTTGAATTAATTGAATGCTTGTTGGATGCCCTCTGAACAGGCAATCTTTTAGTGTGAGAGTGTCAATCAGAAAAGTAAAACAAAAGGTTGGACACTTTAAGTAGGACCGTGACTTTTCTAGTCAATTTAAATACCTGAATGAAATGGATACATTTTCAGGCATAAAAAATCTTTCATGCATTTGCATCACCTCTGGGTTGGTTAGTTTTTTTTTTTTTTTTTAACTGGTGGGTTATTTTGTTCCAATTTAATTGGTGTCTTTTGGGTGGAGTCGTGTCAGAGGAAGTTGGTTTTGTGAGGAGAGATATTAGCGGCCAACATTATTGACGCATGGGAAATGGTTTATTACTCGACTGCCAGGTGCCAGGACCAAGAAGTTGGTCTTGCATGTACAGTTTTGACCAATTTTAAAAAGAGGCTTCAAATGAATATTAATGATTTGTGTTAGGTTCTTTGTTTGGCATATTGGTGTAGTGTTTGTCACTTCCAAAGCAACGGCATGTTATGCGATGTGAATTGGACTTCTGGATATCTTTTAGTGATTTCTCCCAGTTATAAGATGTTCCAATCTGACTTTGCTCGCAATGGCATGGAAAGTTTCTTCCAATATCATAATTCACTGTTCTTAGGAAAACACCAAAAACCTGCCATCTCTAGTTTCTCTGACAAAGCTTTCTGATGAGAATAGTTGCAGATAGCATGCATGCAGTACAGAAGAACACTGAAGATTGTTTTTCTCCCTTTCTGTTGAGCACATACAACACTCGCAAAAAGAATAAAATAACCTCAATGTATTCTGACAAAGTTAAGTTAAGAATAATTCTTTTGAGACTGGTTCTGGATTCACAACTGGTTCTCCAACCTTATGTGTTTTCCCTCCTAAAGCTTGTCTCCAGATGCCCTGTATAGTGTGTGGGAGGTGGTGCCATCTTCTGAGACAGTAATGACTGACACTAGGTGTGAATTGCAAAATCCGATGAACGGAGAATCTTCATTACACCAGTTATGCTGGAACCATGCGGATGTCGGCTTTGGCAACATGTATTTCATCACCCCAAATCCCACAAGCCTCTGGGAAACATAGAGTGATTTGTGAAATCCTGTGACGCAATGAGTGTTTGGGATACATAATTAGCCAGAAACTATAAAAACGTGGACACTTCTGCCCAGATGTCTTGAATCACGTCGCCACCACAAGGATACCTGGTATCAAGGGGTCAGAGATTGGCTCCTCTGTAGTTGGCCCAAATGCATCCTCTTTTGCGAAGCATTGTGTCATGTTGTGCAATGCCCCATCGCCAACAGGTCCTCTTGTGACCTTGATGCATCGTCGCCAGTAGGATTGTAACCTATATTGAGTGGGACTTACTGTTTCAGGGTGCTAGAGAGGGTTGGGAGCCCGTCGTTGTGAAACCCTTTTACTTCCCCCTCCGCCCCAAGAAAGAAATACATGCACATGGAAAGAAATCATACGAAGAAACCTCCAACATATATTGTTCTTGCCACCCTTATCTAATTTGTTTTAAACTTAATGAGAACAAGTTCTTTTAATGAGAAGCAAATTGATGCTGAACGTAGGGCAAGTGAATTTTGGTTATTCCCTTTGCATGATGTTTACAGTGAGAATGAATATTGTGGCGTTCAGCAAGACCACACTAGTATAATCTTGGAAAAATCACATCATGTCCATTTTGGAAATTTTCTAAAACCTCAAAACATTTATTGCTTAATTTCGGATTTTTTTCTTTTTTTCAGTTGAAAAATTTGTAATCAATTTTTGCTTGAGGTGTTTCAGGCACAATTGATTTTAGTTTTTTATTTAAAAAAAAAAGAGTTTGCGTTAGGATATTTCTGTTCTTGGCAATGCTTGAATTTCCATTTGTCTTTATTCAATTTCTTTTTTATTCAATGGGTTTTTTTTTCCTAGTTTAATGACTTTATCTCTTCCCAGCTCTCTATTATGCCCTTGTTCCTCTTCATTGCCAATTTGCCATCCCTAACCACCTTAATGAAAATTTCTCTTTTTCTTTTAGTAGTTGGTTAAGAATGGAGGATACTGTTCTGCATGTTGTCTTGTCCTCCAGCATCTATCACATCATTGCAAACCTGCTAAGATTATAGGTCCATTTTATTATTCAATGATTGTTTACTTCTTGTTGTCAATGGCTAAATATGGTGTTATAAGTAATGGCATCTTTGTACTACTGTAGAAGCAGTTTGTTAGTTAACCTAGTATCATGGATCTTTGACATGCAACAGAGGTTACTAACATGGTTCGAGGTCACGGTATCAGTCATTGACTCGGAGAGTTTTGAGACATCGGTCGTGGCGTCGCGGTGCGATATCGGGCAATACGACCAAAAAGAAAATGTTGAATATAACAAGAGATTCTGGTTGTATTGCGGCGTTATTGAACCGTATTAACTGATTCGGTGATAACAGCTCAGCGATTTGAGATTAACTCGGATACAATTCAAACGACTTGATCAAGTTGTACGAGACTCGGGGTTTATACGTATCATATAACTGTATCGTCTCGAAAAGTGCTGAGTCAGATACTATCCGACTCGGCCAACTCGTATCGGTATCAACCGATATTTTGAACCATGGTTACTAATGCAAATATAATAATACATGAACCTTAACCTGCAAAAGATTCATCGACGTTCATAGACTCTGATAATTCTACTTCTCTGCCCTTATTATTATGTTCTACACTTCTGAATAAATGTTTTGATTTTGTTTCATACTCTTGTAGAAACCTAAGAGCAAATAAAGACTTTGGAACCCAAAAATCATCCACCTTTTTAAATGGATGTGCTTCGTTAGCTACAGCTCAACAATTGGTAGAATTATTGAATCTGAGACATGAATTAGTTTTGCTTATCTACATCATATTAAAATGCTCAGTTTTTCAAAATCTGCATGTTTTTTGATGGAAAATTTAGCTAACACTCATACACCTACTAAGCTTCTGATTGAGTTGTGCTTAAATTACTTTGAGAACTCTGTTTTGCTCTACTGGAAACATCTGTTTCTCACTCTGTATATTATTTTTCTTGGGGCCTTAGGCCCAGGTAAGACAGCAAGGAGAATTTGAGTCCCTCCATCGTGACATGATGGTTGGCTTTGGGACCTGGGAATTTGATCCCATGGATCTGGAGAACCCATTCCCAAACAATGAAGGCTCTGTCCATCTATGGCATGGTGATGATGATGGGATTGTGCCTGTTATGCTGCAACGTTATATTTCCCAGCAGCTTCCTTGGATACACTATCACGAGATCCCAGGTGCTGGTCACATGTTCCCATTTGCTAATGGAATGACCTATAAAATCATGAGGGCACTTTTAAATGCAGAAAATAACCTTTCATAGACCACATGAGCTTTGTGAGGTTAGCATTTCTGCGGTTCATATTGTTTGTCTACTCATTTTTGGGGTTTACAACTTTGTAATGGATATGTTCCTTAATTGCGGGTGCTAGGAAAGGTGGACTTTATACAAAGCTGTCCTTTGTCGTTATTTGCACTAAATTGTTGGTCTTATATCCAAACTCTACAATCTCGCAGCTTTTAGTCTGGCATTTTTGCCTCTGGAATTTCTGTAGTCATATTAATACCTGGAATTAGTTTTGTGCTAGACATTAGCGTTCCTTCTTTGCAGTCTGTTGTCTGAGAATTTACACTGCATACCCGTACTTTGTGATTATATGATCTTCCATGTGCAGTGTGGTTGTCTATAACATCACTAGACTGGTAATCCATTAAATTTTTGTTTTTCAGATTGATTTCTTGATTTTATGTTCATGGAGCCTTAATTTGAGGGAAATTGGACATCAAATGGGAGTCAAGCACGCCCATTTTCTCCTTTAGATATTTTCATATTAATAAAATCGTGCAGTTTCCTATCAAAAAAATTTGTTTTTTTGATTTTTGGTGTCATGATCAGTAAAAATGGGGGGTGAGCAGATAGATGATGGGTTTATGGTTGATTTGAAAAATGGATGTTTTTTTTTCCCCGAAATATCTCATGAGTTTGTGTTTCTAACTCTTCTGATATTTATTTGGGATGGTGGTGGCTGCAATTTGAAAATGTTGAGTTGGGTACTATAGTACTATTATACTAGCACAGATGCACTGGATCACATTGGAAAATTTCAGTCAGCACTAGAATGAGTAATTCCCTCAAATGCACCGGATGATATTGGAATTTTTCAGCTAGCACTTGGATGGGTAATTTCCCTGGGTTGTCCTGATTCCTTGTGTCGTGCAACACTTCTTTCCTACTTTCTTATTTTGATAAAGGCAGATCAGGAATGATGGCTAATATTTGTTCCATTGGACACCAACAGAAAGAACTCAAACTCGAGAAACCTGATTGTCCAGTTGTCCTTATGTTTGCTAGCATCAGGTTACCATTGAATGAAAGGAGCGGAAGAAAGAATGTTGTTGGGGTGGGGGGTTGTCGGTGCTGGAAATGCAGCTGTTTCTGAAAAAAGATTACAGTTGATTGAGATCCTCTATTGTCTTCTGGAAGAGAGATCTTCTTATCTTATGATTTCTGATTCTGGTCCAATTCCAACTCACATGTATGAATTCCGAAAAGGACTGGTTGCTTTTGCAGGTATCCAATGAGCAAGCCATGATGGCTTGTGTTCTGATATGTCTAAATTCAGTCTGTTGTATCTGCTTAATTGTGTAATGAATGTCCTTGGTAACTCCCTGAATCTCCCAGTCTGCCTGTACTTCTGCTTGAATCTTTAGAAACGAGATTGCGATAACCTGATTATATGATAACCCATCCCAGTTCCATCTCTGAAGCTTGGTAAACAGCTTCTTCTCTCCTAGCAATGGCTGCTTCTTGTAAAGGAACCAGAGTTCCTTATATGCTTTGATGCTTTCTTCATAATTTTGAAAGGCTGTGATACCATTTAACATTTAGTTTTCTGAGTAACTGGAAGCTAATCTAAGAGCTCGTGTGGTTGTCGTATAATAAAGAAAAAAAAAAGATTGTATTAGTTAATATTGGTTAATTTTGTATAAGTAGATAAAATATAAGATTAAATATGAGATAAAATTAATATTTATTATAATTTAGTGTTTGGTAAGATACTTGATAAATGTGGGATAATAGAGTATTAATTACATATTGACCAAAAAGAAATTGGTGGATAAAAAAGTAAATTATAACTTAATTTGTATGAATTAGACTATAATACCACCTCTTTAGGTATTAGTATTAATTACATATTGACCAAAAAGAAATTGGTGGATAAAAAAGTAAATTATAACTTAAGTTGTATGAATTAGACTATAATACCACCTCTTTAGGTATTATAATTGACTCAATAGTACGGATAAAGTATTATTTGAATAATGTAATGCCCCAATTTTTCTTTTTCTCGGAGACGTTAATTGATATAAACGTTAATTTCTTTAGGTTTATAATTGACTAATAGTACGGATAAATTGTATTTTTGAATAATGTAATGCCCCAATTTTTCTTTTTCTCGGAGACGTCAATTGATATAAAAAAACATAAATAAAAAAAACAGAGTGTTAATTGTC